AGTCATGAAGGCACTTACTTAAAGTCGAGCTGAAACGCAGGCACAAGGCCTGCATTGAGCACCATCTACAATAACCGCTGGATAGGCCTACCTATAGGCATTAAATGCTATTTGCCGAGTGTCAGTTAACACCTTCTTAAACTCTTTAAAAGTGAATAGCGTTCTCGGAGTCAACCCAACATCAATTGCAGTTGAAGATCTCGAGCTGCCAACCATACTTGATGTCGATATACTTAACATGTGTCCCACATGCCCCTTGGATGCCCCTTACACCTATTTATCTAGCTACCCTCTCTCTCTGGTCCAACTAATTGCAAAAGTTTGCTTCATAGACCTCTCGTTGCAAGATCTGGATGACGTAGACTGGTCTTGCCTGCAGCCACTATAACATCAACAACACCCATATGGTATTTTTGTTTAATATTTCGCTCGAAAAAATCGAATATTTTTTTTTTTTGAGCTTTTGATAAATTTTTTGGGATCCAACGTGAAGATTCCTTTTTGTAGCCACAGCAATATTGAATATATGCTGGTCGTACTAATGTCTACAGTTGCCTTAATCTCTCGACGATCTTGCAATATCAGTTTTCAACGCAAAAACTGATTCTGAACGGAGTTCACGAACATCCTCTTGGAGTGTTCTACGAACGCGGTTGGCTTCGTTCATTCATTAAACAAGGATCCTCAATGAAACTTCAACGACAAAAATTTCATAAAGTGGCATTTTTGGGCCGAAAAAAATATTTTAAGTTACTGTAAACAACACGAGCGCTATGTCAAAACGTTCTTAGTGCGTATGACGTAAAAAAGGTCAAACTTTATTTTATAATTGTCAGTTTCGAGATCGCAGCGCTAGTAAGCATCGCTAATGCGAGTACAGCCAAATCAATTTCAAAACAATAGTTTCTTCTCTTCGCGAATCGACACAAAATGCAGACACCGTCGGTGAGCCGTCGGCTTTCGCTGCTTTGTGATTCTGCAAGCAGCAATCACTATTCGAACTGAAGAAGATTTGGAATTTCAGGGTAGGAAAAAATTTATTTATTTCTTCCGTGTAGAAGAAGTTCAACATAAATATGAATGTACTAGTATTAAACTAGTAACGATTGATACATACACGAATAACTGTCATTTCATACTTAAAATACTGGTATAATGTTGATTCATGAGTCTTGAAATTTATGCACAAAAAATGTATAACGTTTCGTTTTTTTTTTTTTTTTTTTTTTTTTTTTTTGAGGGCAAAACCTTGTATTTACGAGTAAATATTTCGCATAAATAAAAATATAAATTTCAGTTTTGTGAACCAATTTCAATAGTATGGAGTTCAGTGTTGAAAAATTCTATGAAATGCATTTGCCAATATTTTATTTCTAGTTTTCTTGTTAACTTGTTTTTGCATTTTATTTATTTACAAATTTGATAGAGAGCACTTTCTTTCAGCAGCCGAGCAGACTGAAGGCCTGTAATGTAAAATGTAAAATCAAAAAACAAAAATTAAAAATGAACAAAATGTTTAAAACTCTAAATCAACATTTCCATTATTTCATAGAATACAAGCTATGACTGACTGAGGAAATGAAATTCCAAAATAAAAAGGGTGTTTTTTTTAAGACGTGTGGTTTTCAATAAGGCAATATTTTATTGAGTGTTGAGCTTTTTAGCAGCTCTCAATGGATTTGTATTAAATTTGATTTGAGGTTTCATAACGCACAGACTTACTATGGAACCATGTTTGCGAAGTGAGCAAATATATTAACAAAATAATAGTTCGGTTCACGCAAAGGAATCGATAATTCGTGTAATCATAAATCAGTTTCGCTTTTAGTCTAGTTTATAATGTGCATCTAGTATCTGAGACGCGGAGTATCGAAGAAGACCCAAATGATTACAATCGCGCATCGTCGTGCCCATGTCTGTGTCTAATTATGAAAGATTTTGCGTAAGGATCTTGGTTTCCAAACTTGCCAATTCCAACTCATGCAATATCTCTAATCAAACAATAACCAACCACGACGCACCGATTTCGATTATCACAAGAAATTTTTGCTCAGCGCAGAAGCTCATTTTTGGTTGAATAAATACCGAAATCAATACAATTGTCACTTTTGGTGCAATGACAGTCCTCAAAACATTGTTGAGACACCGTGAGATCGTCAAAAAGTCACTGTTTGCTGATCAACTCTATGGACAAGATCAATTTCTAGCCATATTTATCTTCGAAAACGTAGCCGGCCATAATGTAACAGTCAAAGGAGAACGCTAGAGAACCATGATTAATGACTTTTTGGTGGAGGATGACAATGAGGACGACCTTTGGTTCCAACAAGTCGGCGCTATATGCCCAATATGAGAGCCAACGAAGCAATTAATTGATTAAAGGAAACTTTTGGTAAACGCATTATTTCACGTCGTAAGCCTGGGATGTGGGATCCAAAATCGTGCGGATTAAAAACGCTGGATTATTTTTACATATGTATTTTAAAAAACAATATATATATGCATATATATATATCTATATATATATATATATATATATATAAACACGCGTGAGTCGTTGCATGTTGTTTTTGTTTAGTATTATTTTTCATTTCGATTCGTCACCGTTCGCAGCAACTCAATTGACATATGGAACGCTTCGGCGCATTTTACGTTGAAAGCACACAAAATGCAGCATGTGCAAGGACTGAAGCTGCTCGACCATTCCAAGTTACTTTACTTTACTCTATGGGCTTTTGAAAAGTTTAAAGAAGATCCAAAGTTTTCGAGCCAAGACTTGTACAGCTATGAGGCTCAATTGGGACGAAGAGCAACCTAAAGCGTTTTAAGAGCTGCCATATTTTCTGGAGAGAAAAAATGTTAGTTTCGTTTATAGGCCGATGGAATAAACGGCATATAAATAAATATTTCCAGCGGAAAGCAGTGGAATCAGAAGACTACACCTCATGACCCCCATACATCAGATTTACTCAGATATGAGGTGTTGCATCAAAACTCTGCCAAATAAAAAGCAAGTAAGAGCATGAAAATTGCTATTCGTCACTCGTATATACAAATAAACATTGTCACCAGAAATCATTGAGTTCGAAGGAACATGATATGTGGATCCCATTCAATCGATTTGTTCGTCAAACGAACATCTTAGAGCATGAAATTTGGTATTGGTCGGCATGGTTCAGCTCTTCATTCTGGTTTTTAACAATAGAAGATGTGAAAGCAAAAAGCTGATTACATCGAAGGCTACTGAGCTCTTAATGTTAGGCCATGGTGACTCATTAGGTAAAATAATAATATTTTAAGTAATTTCATAATACAACAAAAACAAAAGAATTCACTCATCGCTAAGTATAAGCAATATACATTTTTTTTTTATTTATTGAATTTTAAAATATTTTTTCCACATCAAGTTAAATGATTTGACATATGCAAATGTGAAAGCGCAAATGCCCAGCTTACGAATTTAAATTAAAATATTAGCGGTTAATCAGCAGACCAAAACGATATAAAACATATAAAGCAATAAATATACATATTTACATGTGTTTGTATGTACTTAGAAATGTGTGTGTGTGTACCAAAACTTGTTCCGATTGAAAGAGAATTTTGCCCCAGCAGCACGTGTCTCACAGTCATCCCACATGCCGCTAATGACGACGTTGTTTGGCGAGAAGGTAGAAATGCAATAGCTTGCGACTGCCAATATAAGAAAACCGGTTTAAAGAATTGTCAAAACAAAGTTAAATGAAAGCTGTATGCATATACCGTCGATATTATACAGTGGTGGCAAGAAATAGCATGTCTGACTGTAATTATTGCTAAATCCTTTGTGAGAGTAAGAAAGTAGTTTAGTCATAAAATTTTTATGATTTTTAAATTAAGAATTTCGAGTTGCCCGCTGTGTGGAAAATAAAATTTATATATATATGATATATTTATATATTTTTGCACATTAAAGAAATTTATTTATTGAATCTGATTTATATGTTATGTGCGGCTAGGTTATATTTTGTATATATATATATTAGGGTTTGCTACTAGAAAAAAATTTTAGTGGTATCATTTCAATAAAAATAATTCTAACAGAGTTGTCAACTCCTTCAGATTAGAAAGTTCAATCAGCTGGAAATTAACGAATGATAAATAAATTAATAAAGTTTTTAAAAAAGCAGAAGGCAAAGCAATATTTGGCACAGAGTTGCCACATATATAAACAAATTGAAATGAGTTATTTGTATTAATGTTATTAAGAAATGTTCTAGTTAAGACCAATAATCATATAGAGTTACCATACCAATGAATTTGTTTTTATTAAAATTTCAGTTTATTTACAGGATCTGCTGCGATATCGAAAGCCTGACAAGAATTAGTAAATGAAAATAAATAGAATATATTAAAAAAAATGTCTTCAAGTTACAAGAAAAAAATTCCTACAAATACAACAAAGCACAACTCTGGCATAAGTATAGAAAAATATAAAGTCTATACCGAACTGCAATAATTCATCCTATCTTCTCAAATTCTATATGGCATCGTAGAAGAACAAGCAACACCTGCACCAACCGCACGGCAAAAGTTACAGTTACCTCTTGAGTCCCGTGTAATTACAACAAAATTTTGGTGAAAATACCGCTATAGCTTATCAGCGCTCCCTAATTACAGTGACAACGCCAGAGGCCTCAGATTAGCGTCGCCTGACTTCTCTAACCTTTTGATTTGGTACCTCTGTGTGACCAGTATGCCTTCATTTATGTGTAAATAAATATATCTAATTGCCAATATATTTTTATACTATGTATATAGCGCTTTAAATAACAATCGGCAATTCATTTGCACTGACTAATATATATTACTAACACGCTATAACCAGTTGCAGTTACGCAGTTGCTCAATATGAATATGAATATTTGTATTCTCGTCAGCTGTCTACAGTTTATGGGTGCGAAATAATAAATCAATATATATACATTTTTGTGAATTAAATATCAATGAATGCACATATGTAAATTGATATCACCATACGGCAAATATTTATTAATAAAAATTTAAATCAAAAATATTATCTTTTAAAGCTAGCATCCATGATTGTAGCTATTCTAGACTGAGATATATGCGTAAATAATACAATCATAATTTAAATATATTTCAAAAGAAACGTGATTGGCATTAACATCAACAGCCACTGTAATTGTGCGAAGCCAGCTGAGCTCCTATCGCCGTGATCGTAATGGCCATAATGGCCACCGCCAGGTGCACCGGGCGCTCCTGGGGCACCATCACCGCCGCCGGGGGCTCCTGGTGCTCCGGGGGCGCCGCCGCCAGCACCCCAACCGCCGTTGCCACCTTGAGCTGAAATGAAGTATGTTATGAAAATATTATAAATAAAATAATTTTTAAGAAGAAATTAAATAAAATAAGGTAAAATAAAATAAACAAACTTATATAAAATAAAGTGAAATGAAGCAAAATATCATAAATAAAATAAATAGAATAAAATAAACTATAAACTATATAAAATATATAAAATATAGCACCGGGCGATTCTGGGGCACCATTACCACCGCCGGGTGCTCCTGGCGCGCCTGGGGCACTGTCACCACCGCCGGGTGCTCCTGGCGATCCGGGAGCACCATCACCACCACCGGGTGCTCCTGGCGATCCGGGAGTGCCATCACCACCACCGGGTGCTCCTGGTGCTCCGGGGGCGCCATCACCACCGCCGGGAGCACCTGGAGCGCCAGAGGCGCCACCGCCAGCACCCCAACCGCCGTTGCCGCCTTGAGCTGTAACAGAAAATTTTTAAATGGGAAATAAAATAACACAGAAAAATATAATAAAATGAAAGAAAATAATCAAAATAAAAAAACTAAATAAAAACATTAATAAAATAAAAATAACTAATGCAAAATTAAATCAAACAAATTTACATTAAGTAAGACAAATTAAAAAAGATTAAAAACAAATAAAGTAAAATATAATAATAAATTAATAATATAAAATGAAAAGAAATAAGATAAAATAAAAAAAAATTAAATAAAATAAAATGAATTGAAATTAAATTAAATAAAACCAAATACAGTAAAATAAAATAAACACGATTTAATTAAAGTAAAATAATTAAAATAGAATAAAAATACAGGAGAGAAGAATTAAAACAGAGAATAATTAAATAAACTAAGTAAAATAATGATATAAAATAAAATGAATTCATTAAAAAAAGAGTTAATTCAAATTAAATCCAAAAAATTTTATAAAGAAATAAAATAACCTAAAAGAAAATTAAACTAAAAAAAATAATATAATAAAGGAAAATCAAACTAAATGGAGGAGAAATAAAATTACATAAAATAAAATGCAATTAAATAGAAGCACTAAATAAATTAATATAATTGAATGGAAATAGAATAATACTAGCAGAATATAATAAGATGAAATAAAATAATAAAAAATATATTATAAAAATAAGTAAAATTAAGTAAAACTAGGTACTAAAATAAAATAAAAATAGTTTCATTAAAATAAAATAATTAAAAAGGAGTCAAAAAAGAGTAGTAAAGAATTACTACTATATTATATAGAATAAATAATTAAATAAAAAAATAATATAAAATGAAATAAAAGCAAATAATTAAAAATAAGATAAAATTAATAAAACAAAAACAACTAAATAAATATATAATAATTAGTTTTTTAGAAATAATTCACACGAAATTCAAATATAATTACAAAATAGAAAATTTAAATTATTATTTTATTTTTATTATACTAATTTCATTTTAATTTTATTTCATTTTATATAAAATTAAAAAATACAGTAAAAAGTTAAATAAATTAAATTATAATAAAATAAAGATAATAAAAATATAATAATAAATTAGTAATAAATACATTAAATTTGAAAAAATAAATAAAATGAATTAAAATAAAATACATTAAAATAAATGAAGAACGAACACTCTATTAGGTTCTTCAAATATGTATTACAATACATATATTCTATATGCACTCCATTAATTAACACACCTGCGCAAAGTAGAACGCAATTTAATGCGATTAGCAGCACAACTGCAAAACTGAGCTTGAGAACTGACTGCATCTTTACACCAACGACGATAAAAGTGAACTGAGTAAACTCGTCTTGTGGCGAGCGGTTTTTAGCAAAGTTTTTGCAACAATTTGTTTGTTGGCTGGCAAAAAATTAGTCATTGATTGTGTTGCAGTCGATACAGTCAGACATTTCCTCTCAAAATATATACAATATGTATATAAATAAGTATATATTATATACATACGTATATACACATATTTATAATACAAATTTTTGCTTTGTTTATCATTTTGGGAAAGTTCATTGCGTTGCTATTAAAATAAATATATGTATTTATTTCTTAAACACATTTAGACATTTTGTATATACATATATATATATATGTCTACATGTAAAAACCTGTATGAAACATCTCTAATTGCATATTAATTCCATAAGCAATTTCCACATGTTTTGATACAATAATTTTTTGTTTTTAGTTATACTAATTAAATCTTTATTACGAATGACATATAAACGGCAATTAACATAGATACTTATATTGCACCTCTCATGAGGCATATTATTATTATTATTTGCAGTTTCTGGGTTTTAATTATAAAGTAAGTCCGATTAACACTTAAAACTGTTATTTGAAATTATATTTTTTTGCTGTTGACTATTAAGTAGCAACTTTAATATGCCTGCTCTTATAGGCTGGATATTAATTGAGAGAGAGAGAGAGAGAGAGAGAGAAAGAGAGAGAGTATTGTGTTAATGAGCTATTGAGAAAATATGAAACCGGTTCGAAAAAAATGAGAGTCGGCAGAGAGCACTGTTTGGATTTTTAAGTCCCTCTTTGACACCGGTTTTTAAAAAATGCGTTCGAGCTCAATATTTCATTTTATTAAAAAACTTTTCAATTTAAAATTAATATTTCAGCCTAAAATTAGCAGCGGCACTTTTAATGTGCTCCCCCCAGGAGAGATAGGAAGGGAGAGGCTAATAAATGGCATTTTAAACGACGACTTCCGATCTCAAACCAAGTGTTTCTGGGTAGCCAACGACCATCCGTTTGGTAGTCGGGCTAAGGCGATGAAGTTATACGATTTGGGATCCGCTACATGAAAAATTTATTCCAATGAACAATAGCAAAAAGTCTCGGATGGCAACTTGAGGGCATGCACCTAGAATTTCCGTTCGCTTAATTGGATAGATGTCGCTGCGCAGTGGGTTTATGTACTCGAAAGTTTAAGGGCTGGCAGCACGATGATGGACAGGACAAAGAATGAAGAAGGTGAGTTCTTGTAGGATCTACTACAGCGTCGCAAATTTGGCATCCATTTGTGGTGGGAGATAGATTTCATCGCCGAGTGCTGTCATTCACTCTGGTAGATGAACGACTCGCTACAATACACACCAGACCGAAATGTTTCAACACAATGCTGATTTGCGATCATGCCCCGACGGAAGAGAAGGACAATGTTACTAAGCTGCATACACAAGAGCACCACCCCCGCGACGAGGAAGGTTCGTCATCGAAAAGCTAGAATCACAACTTACTGCCGAGCGGTTTTCGATTCGACTTGCACTCCTGCTCTCTGAGAACACTCATCAGCAGCTCGGTATACGGGAACTGTAGAACAGCATTTCAATCTCTTTATGTACAGGTGCAAACAAAACTATTGGATTTCGGAAAAATAGCAAAAAAAGCTGGTACGATCAAAAAAGAAAGAGGACGAGATGCATGAGTCTGAAGAGCTTGAAAAGCTGGCCGACAAATTTAATGCACAAACATTCTATGAAAAGATACGACAGTTTAGATAATGTTTCAAGACCGAAGCAGACTCTTGTAGGACACAAAGAGGCGATCCAGCAACCGATGCCCAGAGCATATTGAGTTTATGGAGGAAACACTCCTGAAGCATGCCTCGAATAACTAATAGGATGGTGAACCCGAAACTCCAATTCGAATAGCAATCGCCCGCTTAAAAACAACAAAGTGGCTGGAGCTGACGGCCTACTGGCAGCGCTATTCAAACATGACCTTATAATTTCACCATTGTACAGATATTCACATTTTCTTTTTCTGAAAATATTTTTTATTTCGATTTTTTAAGGCAACAAGGTTTCTTGCACTTACCACTGTAATAGGACAAATTCGGTGCTAGTCTTCGATGATGGCTATGGTTTTGTTTTAGAGCTTGATGTATGTCTTGATGTTTTTCACCTGGCTCTTCGTGGAGGGCAGCAAAATGCACACGAGGTCTATTTCTGATAACCTTGGGGCCTATCTGCCTTTAAAGCTTCACTCATAGAGCTTCTGTTGATTCACATTTTGGGTGGTTCATATTTTGGTAATCTTTTTATTGTTATATTTTCTTTGCTCCAATGGCCACTATTTAAGTAAGTCCACGTAGTTCTTTGCATTTTGCTTTTGATATTTTATATCTCCTTCCTCAATGGTGGAGCCAGCAGACTCATTTATGATTATCTTCCCGAGAACGAAAACTGCTTTCTGGTAAAGCTTCTTCTCCGCCCGATTCGGAGACTTTTCCATCTTTCTTGTAAGATATATTCCATACTGTAGTGTAGTTTGGCTGGTACCCGCTTTATTTGCTGCCATAACTTCCGTTGTACTGTAATTGGTATCGCCGAAAGTTCTTTTAGTCGTCTACTGTCTGGGGGCGTGGATGGTGTCTTTATTAGACTCCATTCTGTAGTCGAATAGTTTTTCCGTCGTTATTATCTCATTGTTATAGTCGCACTAGTAAACCGAGAAGTTTGGGTCGCTCGTTCGCGGGTATGCATAGAGAAGGCATTTATAGCATTGACCTGAGCTGAGCTTCGAAGAGGAATGTTCGTGATCAGCTATGTGATTAAGAGAGCATTTAGCATGATAGTAATACGCAAGATGTCGCCTAGCAGCAACTGTGTGACTGTAGAGCTCTTGAAGGACAGCAGTTAAGGGAAAATTGAATAGGAACGGTAGTTGGAGACGATAAGGTCTAATTACTTTTAATTGATGGTTACTATTGATAGCATGATAGGTTATGCATATGGTATATAGAGAAGTCACGATAACTACCTTTGCTCCAACGGAGGTGCAGTCAGAAATTTTCTTATACTTCAAAATGTCTACGCATAAATTAGAGATTATGCTTAGTTGTTGCCCATATATTTTTGATAAAAACTCACTAGGAAAGTCTAGAATTGTGGGAACTCACGTGAAAATATAGAAGACAAACTTCTTTAAAGCTCACAAGGTACACTCGTATGTATAAAAAGTATAAGAATAGCTTGCATGGTATACTTAAAGCTGAATTCCACTGCTCCTTAACATTTTCTTGAATTTTCTAAGTACGAACAATTCTTGCCACATTCGATGCCTTTGTGTTGACCCTTTAAAATTGTTGGCTAAATAGTGACTTGAGCCAGTGGGGCGACTACGACGATAAACGTTGACGATGGCCAAGATGACGACAAAGAGTGCGACGACAAGGGTAAGAAAGAAAATGCCGGCAGCAAGTCAAAGTGTGTCAAAGAAGAATAGAAAATTGCATGCTATCTGTCTATCTTTCTGTCATTTTCCACTTAATTTTTTTCCCCCACTTCTGCTTTCACACCAATCGCACTTTGCATACCAGCGCCAGTGCATTTGAGGTTGAACCACAAGACGAAAGAAAATTGCGCAAATTGCAATGCATTCCTTCGAAAACCGTAGCCATGTACTCGGACGGACGGACGATTCATGCAAATGTCCTGTGGCCATTTAATTTTTGACTATATAGCTTCTTACATTTTTCTTGCATTTCTAACATCGCTGCCATTTCTACTTTACGTTGTCTAGCTGTTGGCAGGCAGGTGTTGGCTTGCAGGTGAGTTGGGTGATATTTCTTACCTGTTTACTTACTATGCAGATGTCTTCAAGGAAAATAAGAGTTTTCTTTGCAGTTAGTGTATAGTAAGAGTATGTTCATGTTAATAATATGTAGATCAGTGTATGCTTATGACATATGTACATACGTAAGTAGGGATTCAACCTCAACTACCTCAAACCCATTTCTTAATGCGTCCACAAATCAGTGCTGTGATTTATATGGCGGCATATTTTTGCCCAACTTCCTTGGCGTCATTTGAAAAATGATCCCGTATGCGCTTCGGCCGTCCACTCGTTTGTCCTCCTACTGCACGTCATCCTTTGGGCCACTAAGTTTTTACATCGTTTTCATAACAAACACACTTTGTTATTGTGACAACCTTGGGCACTTTTACTGCAATTTTCGCAATTTTTGCAATTTTCCTTTCCGTATTTTTAGTTTCAACGCGAATTTTCTATTTTTTTTTTGCCGTTATCAAAGCTCGGTGTTGTGAGCACTTGCAAGTTGTTCGTATATATGTATATGTATATACATAGGTATCCTGCCAGTTAGTCAACTTATCTTAACTGCTATCATGCTGTTGGTTTGCTCGACTGCCACCAACAGGCCACCTACCTATCCACCTTTACTTTTCTCGCCTCTTCAACATTTTTCATTCGACGCACAAGGTTTCCTATTACTGCTGCTGCTGGTGCTTCTGCTGGTGTTTCTACTGCTTCTACTGTAAAAGTCTTGTTATCAGTGACCGACACTCGATTACATTTTCCGTGGCAGTTGTCACTTGCGGCAGCTTTCAATGGCAAACTCGAATGCACAGGAAGTAGCTAACTAGTACCACGAACTATCTATTATATGCATACCTCTTGGCTTATATATATCTATATGTCTGTATATGTATGTATGATATATAGATATAATACCATAACAAGTGCCTTTCTCACAGTGGGCGGCTGAGTGGTGTGTCCAGCAAGTTCCAATTCATGTAACTTTAACTTGCGCCCTCTCCCTCGCTCTCTTTCTCTTTTCTTAGAATGCAGCGTCTTGGCCTCACTAACCTAGGCCAAGCAGTGAGTTTTGCGTATTCTAAAAGTAAGTTGAGTTTTTCCAATTATTCTATGTCACACTCGTATTTACAGTGAATGCCATTACCAATACCAATCGGTGCTGGAAGCATCAATATAGCTGTCACTCACGTTCACAATTCGAATGTCAAGCTATGGTAAATAGAAATTTTCGTGCC